GATAGATAGATAGATAGATAGAATATGTGTGTATGTCTAGAGCCCTGCTGACATAGTGGATTACAAATTGGGCTGCTAACCACAAGGTCAGCAGTTGGAACTCACCAGTGACCTCATGGGAGAAAGATAAGGCTTTCTGTTCTCTTAAAGATTTTCAACCTTAGAAACCTACTGGGGCAGTTCTACTCTGTCCTATAGGGTCACTATGAGTCAGAATTGACCTGATGACAAACAATGAGTGTATGTCTATGATAGATCATGTTATTCATGTTATATTATAGACGTTATATTTTCTTATTATCAGAGCTGAGGTGGGTGATGTTATCCAAGTAAGTCACCTTCAGAACAGTGGCTAGTGGTTGTATGCCACCAGCTGAGGGGGAAAGAGGAGACTCTGTTCCCATAAAGAGCGACCGTCTCAGAAACATGCAAAGGCAGTTCCAACCTGTCCTGTAGGGTGGCTAGGAATTGGAATCCACGTGATGGTAGTGAGTTTAAGGTTTTTATTTATTTTTTAGCATATATATATGTATGTGTATGTACATATGTGTATATACATATATATATGTGTAGAGCATGCACGCAAGAGAGAGAGAGAGAAGGCTTTATATACACACACACACACACACCGCACTATAGTAATACTCTAGCAATGTGAAGAATGAGACAGGAAAATTTGACCTGGCCTAAAGCATCATAGGAAGATTTACCTTAGAAATAACACTTGAGCTAAAAGGTCAAAAACAATGTCTACCTTGTGTCTTTATTCATTCACTTGTTCATCAAGTATTAAAAAGGTTACCTGTGTTGGGCATTTTTTTTTAAAGAAAGAGAAGCACATTCCTAAATGTGAAGTTTTTAGTTTCTTTTTAAAACAAATACTATTATTATCCTTGCAGTGAAGTGGATAGTGAAGAAGATGTTGATGGTGCTCCTAAGAACACCATATACAAGAAAGCTGTTTTTCAAAAGTACACGGACAGCACCTTTACCCAACGTGATCCTCGAGGGGAGTATGAGGAGCATCTTGGAATTCTTGGTCCTATTATCAGGGCTGAAGTAGGTGATGTCATCCAAGTAAGTCAGAAGAGTGGGGCAGGGAGGTGGGGGGGTGGGGCTCCCCAAACCACCAGACTGACATAGAAGTGAAAAGAGAGGTGTTTCCCAAACCACCAGAAGGTTATAAATGTTTCAGGTGGAAAGCGAGTGACAGCTGGTGTGTTTATTTATTTGAACATTTTATTGTGCTTGAAGTGAAAGTTCAAGTTGGTTTTCCATCGGACACGATTGTTCCCTAACATTGTTTGCAAACCCCACAATGTATCAGCACTCTCCCTCTTTCCTCCCTGGATCTGCCGTTCCCCTTCATCTGATTTCCCTGCTCCTTCTTGCCTTCGCTCCTCTTCGCTTGGGGGCCCAGGTGGCCCTTTCGGTCTCCTGTTGATTGTTCTGAGGAGCACATACCCTAGGTGCTGTCGTTTACTGTATAGGCGGAAAGGTGGCCTCTGAGAGTAGCTTCATTTTCAAGTTGGGTTGTCTTAGGGCTGGAGTCTTGGGGGTTCCTCTAAGAGTCTCCTTCAGACCACTGAGTCTGGCCTTTTTTACTTTTCTTTTTGTCACTCTGAATTTTGCTCTACACAGTTTTACTCCTTTCAACCAGGACCTGGATCTATTTCTCAGAATTAGCCAACTGCATTTCTTTTCAAAGATTCTTTGTCAAGTAATTGGCAGTCTTTATGAGAAAAATAATGACCTCACAATTTTTTTAATCTAAAAATGATATATCCTGGAGAAAATTGCTCTGCCATTCCTCTCTGAAATCCAGGAGTGCTCTAACGGGGCTTCACAATCCTGGCAGCAGTTGTGTCTGTACTGGAAGTGGCTCCAGGTGCCATGGAGTCGGCTGTGACTCACAGTGACCCTATGTCCAGACCAGTGAAACGGGGCTCAGCCCCGCACCATCCTCATCACTGTTGTCATGTTGGGGCCCGCGGACAGCACGCTGAGTCAAGTAGAAAAAGAGGCAGATGTTCAACAAGATAGATTGACAGTGTCACTCCAATAGTAAGAATTCTTTCTCTTTTGAGAAAAGAGAAGAAAGCAAAGCAAGAACAGAGAATTAGGAAAGTATATGAGTCTCCATACCTCTTAATAAAAATAATAACCCCCCATCCCCCAAAGTAAGATGCCTATCTATTCCAAATCATGGCCAATTTTCTTCAACATCCTGTATCCTATTCCAATTCTGCAGCCAGCTTACATGGCCATCAGAATTTATTTATTTCCCTCATCCTTTCTTACCTATCACTTAAGAAGAAGACAGAAAAGGGCAACTGAATCTGAAGTAAACTATTCTAGAGCCAAGAACATAACCTACTCTATTTATTTAAGCATTCAGCAGAACATTCAATAAATATTTTCTCTTTTAAAAAATGCAAATGGACAAGTAGGGATGTAAAGATCATAGTTATTCTTAATGCAACATGTAGATAAGGGAAGCAAGAGTAATTTTCTTTTCTGGTTCCGAACCAAACTCACTGCCACCAAGTCAATTCCTACTCATGGCAACCCTGTAAGACAGGGTAGAACTGCCTCCTGTGAGTGTCTGAGACGGTAACCCTTTACAGGAGAAGAAAGCCTCATCTTTCTCCTTCTGAGCAGCTGGTGATTTGAACTGCCATCCTCATGGTTAGCAGCCCAACTTGTAAAAACTATACCACCAGGACTCCTCATTAGGGGACTTGGAAGCATTTTAGACGTCACAGAAGAGAAGGGTGTATCCTCCAAGAGTCTGACTGTCCCGATGGGGCAAAGACTCCCCGTGTGGCCTTTAAGGTCCTCTGCTGCTGCAATGTTGGCCTGCTGATCAAAGGAGAAAAGTAAGAGTGGCTGTTCCCATAAGTTCTATAGCCTCAGAAATCCTACAGAGCACATCCTCTCTGTAGGATCACTGTGAGCTGGAATCAACTCATGGATGACAAGTCTGGCTCTTTTGTTTACCATTTGGTGCCAAATTCCTTTTCCAAGGTGGCACAAATGATTCAGCACTCAACTACTAATTGAAAGGTTGGCAGTTCAAACACAACCAGAAGCGCCTTGGAAGAAAAGACACCGAAGATGTTTGCAAAACCTATGGAGCCCATTTCTGCTCTGCAGACAGAGGGTCACCACGAGCCAGAATCGATCATCAGCAATTGTTTTGTACCATGTAGTCTCAAGCTCTTACTCGAAGCTATCGTATCACTAGAACCCACTCCACCCTTATGCCCACTACCACCTAGCCACGCCTACATCCTTATTGTCTCCAAATGCTTCCTTCACGCCTCTCCTCACAGGCATGCTCCTGTTCTAGGAATCTGAGAAACTTTTCTCCTTTTTCTTCCTCTGCTGAATTCTTCTTCATTCAGTAAGGGCCAACTCAAATGCCATTGCCCCTGAGACACATTTCTTTGTCTCTAGGTTTGCAGCAGAATACATATGTGCACATGACTATTTCACTCATGGTTTGAAAGCTTATCACCAACAGGGACCAACCTTGTTCATCTCTGACTCTCAACAACTATCACTATAATTTCATTTGTAGAGAATGTCAATATTCTTAGACTTGAGCCTAAGAACAACATGAGTTATTCATGGGATAGCTGTGGAAATTCAAAGGAATAATACACTTAATGTTCATGTGCAATCGCGCTTGTTGTTAGGTCCCATTGAACCAGTGCTGACAAATAGGGACCCTATTTACAACAAAACAAATTGAAACACTACCTGGTCCTGCACCATCCTCACAATTGTTGTTATATTTGAGGCCATGGTTACCGCCACTCTGTCAGTCCTTCTCATGGAGGATCTTCCTCTTTTTCATTGTCCTTCTGCTTTGCCAAGCATGATGTCTTTCCTGGGAAATAGTCTCTCCTGATAACATGGTCTTAGTACAAGAGGTGAAGGCTCACCTTCCTTTCCTCGAAGAAGCGTTCTGGCTGAATCCCTTCCAAGGTAGATCTCTTTGTGCTTTCGGCAGTGCATGCACTTGTAATATTTTTCACCAGCACCATAATTCAAGTGTATCGATTCTTTTTGGTCTTCCTTATTCAATGTCCGACTTTCACATGCATATGAGGCAATTGAAAAATACTATGGCTTGGGTCAAGTGTACCTTAGTCCTCAAAGGAACATTCTTGCTCTTCAACATTTTAAAGAAGTCTTGTGTGTAATTACCCAATGCAGTGTGTCCTTGAATCTCTTGACTGCTGCTGCCATGAGCGTTAATTGTGGCTTCAAGCAAAATGAAAGCTTTGACAACCTCAGGCTTTTCTCCATTTATCACATTACCTATTGGTTCAATTGTGAGGATTTTGGTTTTCTTTACACTAAGTTGCAAATAATATTCTTGATCATCAACAAGTGTTTCAAGTGCTCCTCATTTTACGAAGCTTTATTGTGTCATCTGCATACTGCAGGTTGTTAATAAGCCTTCCTACAATCCTGATGCCGTGTTTTTCTTTATACAGTCCAGCTTCTCTGACTCTTTGTTCAACATACAGATTAAATAAGGATGGTGAGAGATACAACCTTGATGCACACCTTTCCTGTCTTTAAACTGCTCAGTATTCCCTTGTCCCTTTCTAACGATTGCCTCGATCCATGTATAAATTTCACATGAGCAGAATGAAGTGTTCTGGAATTCTCATTCTTCTCAAGGCTATCCACAAGAGATTCCTTGGAATATTTAATAAAACACAAGTAAACATCTTTCTGGTATTCTCTGGCTTTAGCTAACATCTCTCTGATGTCAGCAATGATATCTCTTGTTCCATGACCTCTTCTGAATCTGGCCTGAATTTCTGGTTGATGTCCCACTGCAACCATTGAATGATCTTCAGCAACATTTTAATTGTGGTATCAGTGACATTGTTCTATAATTTGTGCCTTCTGATGGGTCACCATTCTTTGGAATGGGAACAGTCTGAATCTCTTCCAGTCAGTGTGCCAGGTAGCTGTCTTCCAAATCTTGTGCCGAAGACCAGTGAGTGCTTCCAGTGATTCATCAGTTTGTCGAAACATTTCAATTGGTATTCAGTCAATTTCCGGAGCCTTGTTTTCTTTGCTAATATTTTCAGTGCAGCCTTCACTTCTTCCTGCAGTGTCATTAGTTCTTGATCACGTGCTTTCTTTGAAATGGTTAAATATAGGCTCGTCCTTTTTGGTATAGCAACTCTGTGCAGTCCTTCCATCTTCTTTTGATGCTTCCTGCAATCGGTCGGTATTTTGCCCGTAAAAGTCTTTCACTACTCTTACGCAAGGCTTGAATTTTTCCTTCACTTCTTTCCACTTATGCTATGCTGACCATATTCATCCTTTTTGTTTTCTATCTGCGGGCCTTTGCCCCTTTCATTACAGTACTTCTCCAGGTGCCCTTGGGATTTTCTGTTTCGCTTTTACCTCACCATTTCTTCCGTTCGCCTTAGCTACTCTACAATGTCAAGAGAAAGCTTCAGAAGCTCTTCTGACATCCACTTTGATATTTCCCTTCTTTCCTGTCTTTTTAATGACCCTTTGCTTTCCTCATGTGTGACGTCCTCGATGTCATCTCACGACTCATTAAGTCCTCGGTCATTCGTGTTCAATGCTCAAATCTGTGCTTGAGATGCTCTCGAAATTCAGGTTGGAGAGACTCAAGGTTTTATTTGGGACTGGTTTTAATTTTCTTCAGCTTCAACCTCAACTTACATCTGAGCAATTGATGGTCTGTTTTGCAAGCAGTTACTAGCCATATGTTAGCTGAGACTGAGTTTCTCCATCATCTCTTCCCACAGATGTAGTCAATTTTATTTTGGTGTATCCCATCGGGACAGATCCATGTATACAGGTGCAGTTCATGTTATTGAAAAGAGGTATTTGCTCTGGAGATGGTGTCAGTCTTCTTGTATTCAGTTAGGCAACCTCCAGCTTCATTTCCATCACCAAGGCCACCTTTTCCAACTATGCCTCCTCCTCTTTGTTTCCAGCTTTCTGATTCCAATGGCCAATAATTATCAATTCCTCTTGATTGAATAGCTGATTAATTTCAAACTGGAAAAAAAAGTTGCCTGTTTTTCATCCTTGGCTTTAGAGATTGGGATATAAATTTGGAAAATAGTATATTAATGGGATTTTCTTATATATGTATAGATATTGCCCTATCACAGACAGAAAATGTCCTTTTTGACAATGAATGTGACACCATTCCTTTTGAATTTGTCATTTCCAGCATTGGAAATCATATGAAGGACTGATTCAGAATGCCAGTACTGGTCCATTCCAGCTCACTAAGGCCTACTGACTTGCAATTGTTAGCTCTCAATAAATTTTTGGTCAGATTTAATAACCATCCAGCTTCACTTATGATAAACTATTCAGCTCTTAGTCAATGAGTTTGCAGTTCAAAGCCGGAGGAACCTTAGGGGAATGTTCTGGTTATCTGCTTCTCAGAGTAGATCACTGACAACACTATGTGCATAAAATGGTACTGATATCTCCAAAGTGAACCAGAGACATATAGAGAGATTAGACATATGAATATATTTTTGGTTTGCACTTAATCATAACTCTAATCTAAGAACAATTAATTCTTATGACATAACCCTACTCAATATTCGCCCACATGAAGAGATCATTGAAGATAAGGGTGCTATAACAAAATGTGGTGAAATCAGATGGTACCTGGT